CATAAAATACTCTATTTCTAGAAAGGCTTTAGCCTTAATGATTTAATTTAATCAATTTATGAAGCATTTCTTTTCTGGTTTATGATTTTTTTTTTGAATTTTAGGATTTAGATATTTTTTATCTGTGTTTATGTTTTATCATTATTGTATTCTTATTGTCCAGTACTTGGAGGCCAACTAACCTCCCTGCAAGGTAAGACATGCTTAGGACTAGTTGAACTTGAGTTTAATCTCAAGTCCTCCCTTTCCCATCCCCCTGAAGAAAATTCCCATTGTTCAAAAAAAAAATTATTGTATTCTTATTTCTTTATTATTTTTAGAGGATTTTTTATTTGCAATTTATAGGTTGTTTTAATAATAAAAAATTATGAATGTTAAATAACCCATTTAACTTGAAATTTTTTTTTTATAATTAGACTCTTTTTAATGTTAAATTCTAATTATGTCGGTATCTTTAAAGATAAATCTTAAAATTTTTTAATAAAAATTTATTTTTAATATTATATATAATTATTTTTTAATAAGACATCACAAATAATTGTAAGTTACAATCGTATCTAACACTAGAAGTTATAATTGGATGAAAAATTAAAAGTCATTGCCGCCTTTTGAAACTGTGTTTGAGCATTCAACTTTATGAAATCATCTCAATATTACCGCACATAAATTGCCACGCAATGACACAGAAGAAGCACGGTGCGCGCCTTTTGACACGGAAATTCTAAAAGAGGAGGCCCACTGCTATTGTCAAAGGTGTCTTAGTGGGCAAAACCGGTTTTCGGTTAAACCCGAAACCGGTTTTAAAATAACCAAAATTTTTTTTCTTTAATTTTAAAAATCGAAATAGAACCGAAATTATCACAAATAAATTGGTTCAATTATCAACAAAATTGATTTGGTTTTGATTTTTGATAAATAAATATTAATTAATTATTTTTTAATAATATATTATATTTTATCACATATTTTATTATATTTATCTTAATTTTAATTTTTTAAAAACTTAATTTTAATTTTTAAAAAATTCAATCAAAACCAAATCAAAATATATTCAGTTAACATCAAAATTAAAAAAATAAAAACTAAAAATCATTAAAACCAAACTAAATTCATTATTTCAATTCAATTTTCGAGCAATCCATCGATTGGATTTCAAATGCCCAGCCCTAATCTTAAGTGCTAATTACCACACACATTTCTATGCAATGACGCAGGAGAAGCATGGTGCACACCTGTTGATTGAAAAATTCTACAATGTGCTGATGCTAAGTACCACACACATTGGTACGCAATGACGCAGAAGAAGCATGCTGCGCGCCTTTTGATGGGAAAATTCTACAAGTGGAGCCCACTGCTACTGTTAAAGACGTCTAAGCGTGGACGCCAACCAAGATTTATGGAACATAGAAATTTTCTACAAGAGGGGCCCACTGAATTATTAAAGGTGTTAGTGCTAGCTAATTAACGTATAAAATTAAAAAGATTGTGTAAAATAGCGCTCATTCTAAAATTTTATTTAGAAGGGTTATTTAAAATTTTATATTTTAATTCATATTTTTAAAAATTAATTAATAAATTAAAAAAAAAATTTTAAACAAATTCATAAAAGATTGAATTCGAACCGTTATCTTGAGGTGGGAGAATGCACTTATAATATCACTAGATCCAAAGGCCTAAATGCAATTAAAAATTTTATTTATATAAATTATATATATTAATTTTTATATAATGTTTATATTTTTTAATTAAAAAATATATTTATTAATATAT